CTTCTTTTTTTTTTTTTTTTTGGTCTCCCTCCTTACACTACTTTAGTTTCAACAACCGTTGAATATTTCATATTACTTAAATTTTTGTAGGAAAACTTACAGCATGTATCAACAGTGTACTAATATTTTGCTTCCATTGATCAGTGAAATTTATTACCCAAGCTGGGTTGCTGCAGAATTTTTATTTCAGTGATGGGTCATGTTTAGCCAGATATATGAGATCTGTTGAACAAAACGTGCAATGGAAATGTAAACATTAAAATATAGGATGCTCCTGGTGAGACACTATAAGGTAATGAAATTAAGAGAAGGAAACACTGAAAACACTATAGTTTGTTACAGTATTGCCATTTATATGGAGTTTCTGTTGTTTTGCTTTTTTGATGTTTTTTGTTTTCGTTTTGTTTTGACTGGTATTTATGTATGTTGATGTAGAAAGTACTTTTTTTTTTTTGAATTAATGTCATGGTGAATTATAAGATATTTTGAAAAGTGTTCATTTGACATTATGATTATTTAATGTAAATAATAGAAACCATAAACCATGAGAAGCCATATGTTTATCTCGGATTCCACTCCAGAGAAAGCAATTTTAAGCTAACAGTTGGTTAATTTGTTAGGTTAAACCAGGAAAACTTATTGTGATATAAATTATGCGCAAAACCAAAACAGATTTGGTTTCGAATATGGTAAAGAAAGCTTTGTGTTCTGTTCAGACGTTTTCAAATGCTTTTACAGTTTTTACTGTGGTTTATGCACATGCCTTTGATGCGGTTTGTCCATAATAAAATATCATCCATTAATGGTTACCAGGGTTGGTTGGTTGTGTTGTCTTTGTTTTTGTACCTGACTTAACACTTACTTACTTCTAAAAATTAGTCTGAGAATAAAATTACTTACTGCTGTGTGTAACCAAAAACAGTAATTGCACAGATCTGTTTTTTTGTGTTCGATGAATTTAGCTGTATTATATATTATATAGATGCTAAGAAACGGTGTGAAAGTTGTCAAAACATATTATATATAAGTTACGTGATTTTATTAAAGGGGTCATATGATGCGATTTCATTTTTTCCTTTCTCTTTGGAGTGTTACAAGCTCTTGGTGCATAAAGAAGATCTGTAAAGTTGCAAAGACTAAAGTCTCAAATCCAAAGAGATATTCTTTATAAAAGTTAAGAGTCAGCCACACCTACCTAAAACGGCTCGTTCGAACACGCCCCCACATATCTACCTCACTATGTGGGAAGATTTACATAACGCCGCCCAAATGTCATTACACCAAATACACAAAATAATGTTCTTTTTAGCAGCATCATATGACCCCTTTAAGTTTAAAATTATTTTATTGGGAAGTTTTGAATATGTCCACTAAAAAGGAAAAAAAAAAAAGGTTCAGTCACTTTTATTTTGAAAAATCAATGCTTTTACAGTTTTTACTGTGGTTTATGCACATGCCTTTGATGCGGTTTGTCCATAATAAAATATCATCCATTAATGGTTACCAGGGTTGGTTGGTTGTGTTGTCTTTGTTTTTGTACCTGACTTAACACTTACTTACTTCTAAAAATTTGTCTGAGAATAAAATTACTTACTGCTGTGTGTAACCAAAAACAGTAACTGCACAGATCTGTTTTTTTGTGTTCGATGAATTTAGCTGTATTATATATTATATAGATGCTAAGAAACGGTGTGAAAGTTGTCAAAACATATTATATATAAGTTACGTGATTTTATTAAGTTTAAAATTATTTTATTGGGAAGTTTTGAATATGTCCACTAAAAAGGAAAAAAAAAAAGGTTCAGTCACTTTTATTTTGAAAAATTGCCTCAGCGTTGATCTTATTTTGAAACGAGTTGTCGTTGCTGGCTTTACATAATATTTATAACCAGCATCGATTTAACGTATTTCACACCTGAAAGACAGAGTCAGTTCTAATTACGCTAGGTCCGCTAAATTTTCACTAGTATAATTAGACGTGTTGGTGTGATTTTAGCGGTGTATGTGTAAGACGCCTGTTTGAGTTGTAGGATGCTGTACACTGAGGGCTGTGACAGTCCACTGGACAATCAACACAGTCTGCAGTCCAATCGAATATACATTGCCGCCTAAATGCAGCAGATTAACTAAAGGTTTAGTATTTCCGGTAAGAACATTTTGTGTTTTACTTAAGTCAACACGACACTTCTGTTTACATCTGCATGTTTGCAACCCGCTAATACTGTCACATGCGCTATATTAACCTTCATGACCATATCATAAATCATAAACCAGTGTTAGTTGGTGTCCCAGCCTGGTCAGGCAGCCTTCTTGGCTGGTTTTAGAGGAGGTTTGCGCGATAATTTGACTTGACATTTGACTGCACAAGACTGTTTCTTTATCAGTTAACATTATATTTTTCTGTCCCTTTTCCTCTCCGCAGCTTCCCCCTCCCTGATTTTTCCTTGTCCCCATTGCAGTGTGACTTTCACTGACTTTAAATACTTGGACAAACACCTCAAATGGTGCCATCGAAGTGAATACCTGGCATGGGTGAAAAACCACAAAGTCTACAACTGCTCTAAAATATCCTCCAGGATGCTCAACTGCTCGTCGTGCCACTATCGGTTCTTCTCTCCGAGGCAGCTGGAGACCCACATGCGCAGGACCCACCTCCCTATGCCCAAACCCATCCGAAAGCGCTACACCTGCCCGCAGTGTGATCGTAGCTTCGATTACATCGGTAACCTGCAAAACCACTGCCGAAGATGCCATGGCTTAGCCACGGTGTGTAAAGATGGACAAATTAGCTGTGCTAAATGCGGTAAAAGCTTTGCTGGAGTCTGGGGTCTCGGACCACATCGCTGCCATGAGGACGAGAAGAAACCCAAGGTGGCTGTCGACGAACCCATTTGCACGGACCGTGGCTATTTGTGCCGAGATTGTGGCAAGAACTGCTCTATGCCTCAGTGTCTGACGATACACAAATGCACTCATGCTGGTGAGAAGCCATGCGTCTGCGAAGACTGCGGCCGTAGGTTTCATGATACGGGGAGTCTGCGGAAACACAAAGTCATACATACAGGGAACCGGCCATACAAGTGCCCCGAATGTGGTAAAGAGTTTGCAAGGATGGCCCACCTCAGATGTCATCTGCGAACCCACACGGGGGAAAGGCCGTACCCTTGCCCCCAATGCGGGATGAGATTCAGCCACCGATCGACACTTCGAATCCACCAACAAGTTCACTCTAAGGAAAAAGCATTTTCATGCCCAGACTGTGGCAAAATGTTCTCCACTCTGAGATACGTGAAGGTCCACCAAAGAGCGCACAACTCTGAGCGAATGCTGCAGTGCAGAGAATGTACGAAGACGTTTTCACGGGAGGACGTGCTCAAGAAACACCTACGCATTCACATGGGCGAACGGCCGTACCAGTGCAACGTCTGCAGCAAACGTTTTGTCCGCATCTCGCACCTGAAAAACCACATGCGCACGCACACCGGCGAGAAACCGTACCGTTGTGAGCAGTGCGGCTCCAGCTACGCCCAATCCGGCGATTTGACCAAACACATGAGGAGACACACAGGGGAAAAACCCTTCGCCTGTTCTGACTGCGACCGCCGCTTCAACAACTCGGGCGACTTGAGCAAGCACAGGCGCAGTCACACGGGCCACAGACCCTACAAGTGTATGGAGTGTGGGATGAGTTTTCTCATGCCCCAGCACCTGAAGTTACACAAACTAACACACACGGGCGAGAGGCCGTACAGCTGCCCGCGGTGTCTCCGCACCTTCACTCGCCCGCACCATCTTTCTCAACACATGGAAAAACACATATGAGGATAGATGGATAGCTGCACTACTTCTGTCTAATCTCAGTTTAATTTAGGAAAATGAATTGGGAGTTCATTGATGAATTGGAAATCAGTTTAATTTTTAAAAGTAACCGAATCCAGATGCATAGTCTTCCTTTCTGGACTGTCCTTAAAGGTTTAACATTATAGTTATTTTGCATGCTCAACTCCATTGGAGATATCGAATAGAATTAATGCCTTACACTTATTGTTGTTAATATGGGCAATAAATTTGGCAAAAAAGCACCAGACAAACTGTGCTTTAAAGTGTCTATTTAAGGCACAGGCGTCGTTAGCAGTGTAGCTTGAATGTTAATTAATTTAAAGTTCATATTTAACCATTTAAAGACACTGTTGGTTCTACTTCTGCTGTGGCCTAATAATATTCTATGATTATTATTATTATTTTAATATTAATCTGTGAGCTTTATGATGGAAGCATTCAAGGGCTGCAACATCTCTAATTTGAGGTCAAAATTTCTCTTTGCTGTACTAAAGACATCTGCAAATATTAATAAAAGATGACTATGAGGCAAAATTACAGAATTTTTACATTTACAACACATTTACGCTAAGTGTAGCAGTGATTTTAGGGTTCCATTAAACCCATTTTGTGTTAATATGAAATTATGTACTTTTGCCTCATTCATTTTTTTAAATCATATTTTCAGATGCCTTGTGTACAGCAAAAAAGCAATTTTGTGTTTGCTATCCTAACGCTTTATGGAGGGCACTGTAAATCTGTTGAATTGTGTGTTGAATTGTCACCAAGTAAATACTGTAATGGGTTGGTTATTTTACAGTTTATTGTAGTTGATCCATTTGATGTCAATGTTCAATGCCAAAGTATTCTGAGAGTAAGATAATTGTATTATTATTGTGGTGTAGATGAAAGTAAATTTGCATTTATGCTTTGAAGCACAAGTATTCCTGATATATATATACATCTGAAACTGTATTCTTCTTATCTTAAAACAGTAAATACAGTATGCAAACCATGGCCATTTTGTCTAAAGCATTGTCTTTTTGTCTTTCCTTCTCAGCTTGTGCACAGACAACCAAAGCATCGTTGCAGTCTGTGCAGATGCTCAAAGCCAATAGATGGATCACTTGGTCAAAGGGCCCAAACAGGTCTGCTTCAGTCAATGTTGGGGGAATAGCCCTATTATTTTTATGTCTGCGATTACGAGGACAGCACCGTTGCTGGTGCACTGACACAGATAACAAAGATGTATTTAGGGCTCAATAATATTGAGTCTACCTTTGTTTAAAGCTGGAATCAATACTTCTTAAAGCATGTCCATTTTTCATTTAGCAAGCCTCTTGTCTGAGAGGAGGTTGTAGGGAGATGTATGGAAGGGAGTGTGTTTTAATTCTCTCTGTTGCTGTAGTAATAATAATTGTCAGAACAAACACGGCTCCTAAAGATCGGGTGATAGGGAGGTGAGTCACATGCACAAAATTGATAGATTTTGAAAATTGAGACGGATTACATGACAGTTTTTTTTTTTCCTCCCATGATTTTCTTGTTTTACAGCGTACGGACAGAAATGACCATTGGAGACATAACATGGGTAAACCTTTTGAGTTTTTGAATATATGCTCTACAAACACTACTGTATTTTACAAGACATAACAGTCACTCTATAAAGAATGTAAATGTTTATAAATTGACACAAACGTTTCAATTTGGTAGCAGTTCCTCCTTTGGGGCACCAGGGGGAAACGGATATCTGTCAATGTGTGCTTTTGGGAATTAGGATGTGCTTTGGTGCCATCTGTCTCTCCTGTGCTTCTCACTCTTCCCACAGTGAGACAACCTTCTGGGTTACTTCACACAAACAAGTGAAAAAGCACAACAATGCGTAACATGGATTTCTGCATGTGTTACTCCCTTGTCTCTGTGTCAAAGCTTTTTTTTATTTCGTTGCACTGTGCTGTTTTTACATAATTTTATATGTATTCATTTGATAGATGTACGGCAGAAGACGCTTCTTGCGACTTTTTCCGCCTTTCCCGAACCAGGGCTTAAAAATGCATCACAGGACTCTGCGTTCTTTCTTTTTGTTGCACTATGTCTTGCGTTTTTTAATGCAAGAATGCTGTTTGTATAAACCGTAGAGGAATACACTACACGGCTTTAAATCTGAACAGGTTTTTAAAATGCTAGGCATCACACACTTGCCAACTTTGTAAATGGTTACAGAAAAACTTAACATACACTAAACGACTGAAGATCATACACCACTCGACTTTCAAGTCGTTTCGAACACAAAAAACGTGTGCCTCGTTGCGGAAACACATGACAAATGAAACCGGTATGTGTTCTGAAATTGCCTCAAAATATCAAACATGTTGGATATGCTCTGACTGGATGGAATCATGGGAAAAATGAGTCGGTGCCCATCATACACTAAACAATTTTGAAAATTATTTTCTGTGAACTCCGACTGCTCTAAATCTGCAGAATGCGTTGAGTTTCGCCAACTAGCATTGACACCTCCAGACTAGTGATGTCCGGTTCGTGAACGAATCGTTCGATTTAACCGGTTCTTCTTAGTGAACCGGTTGAACCAGTTCACTAAATCGGACTGAATCGTTTGAAACGGTTCGCGTCTCCAGTAAGCATTAATCCACAAATTACTTAAGTTATTCACTTTTTTTACGTGGTTGCAAAACTTAATTGTAAACTTTTCAGATCATGATTATGTTTTAACTGACTGAAGTTATGATTACTGACTTTATATATTTGAATGTGTATTTTCATCCTGGCCCGGGACGATAGACTTGATATCATTACGTCATCGCGAATGACGTCATTAGGGCGTAAAAGAACCGATGAACCGTTTTTTTTTAATCGGTTCATTGAAACGAACTGTCCGAAAGAACCGGTTCGCGGAAAAGAACCGGACTTCCCATCACTACTCCAGACAAATCGGGGCAAAAATCTATGTAGAAGTCATGTAGCGTATTCCAGCCTTTAGTTTACTACATAGCTACTATGCTATCAAGTGTGTTTACTTGTTTTCTCAGATCATATTTTGATCTTTGATCTGTGATATGACCTGTGTTCTTTTGTAAAATGCTCCATCAGCGGTCAGTGCTGAAACTCTAATACCCTTTTTACAGTCAGTTTTCTGACCGACCATCTCTAGAATACTCTAAAATTGAATTACTTCAATGTTGAATTAAATAAGAGCCCTCTTGCACATTTTCCCCTATCTCCAATTTTTTATATGTAATTCCAGCAATCCAATTTTCTTCATATTTTCTCTCAATACTCTTGTCAATTTGCTGAAGGAACACATTGTTGGCTTTGGTGTGCCGGTGTCACAGTGTCGTCTCGCTGCAGTGGTTTTGGCGCTTGTTGGCCTCAAAGGTCAGTGTGTGGGAAGAGCTGCCGGCTTTCAGGGTCTTCAGGGGGCTTTAGGGCGGCTGCGTCTGTGTCCCTTTGGGCTCAGCCAAGCCCAAATCCACTTCTCTCATTCATGAAAGGGTTACAACAGAGGTCAAATCACCACTTTTCACTCCCTGCGAATAACACAAGCCGTGCGTGAGGGATGGTTTATGTAGGCGTAGATGAAACTGTGTATTTTAGGTGTTTTTTTTGGTCATGGTACTTTCTTGGCACGTATTAACTGCCTGAAAGCTCAGGCGCGCAAAAGACAGTGAAAAGATGCTGTGAGTTTTGCTTAGGGGAGGTTGGTTAGCACAGAAGACGAGTAAGGTCGGTGCTGTCAAACTCGAAATGAGGAGCTTCTCATTTTCGATTAGCGTCACGGTGCACACAATTGCCATCTTTTTATCTGTTGTGCGGCTCCTAGCACTTGCGCTTCTCACAGCCCAAATTTGCCATTCACAACTACTCCTTTCTTCTCCTCCTTACTTCTCCTCCCCAGTCCACCCTTATGCCCTAACCTTTGGCTCTGGGTGTCTGTTTAGCACAGGGATAGAGATGTGGAGGGTGAGGGAGACTGACAGTGTGCGCTCACCTACTTCGTAAATATGAACTGCACCCAACAGACAGCCTCATTTATCACAAGGGAAAGAGTGCGGGAGGGAAGGAGAGAGAGAGAGAGAGAGAGGGAAAAGGGATAACCGTCTGGGACGATGTTGCAGTAGCTGGGAGTCCAGTAAAAATACACTGGAAAGT